AAAATTTCATGCTAAAAGTTTTTATGTGGTTTCAATCCCCCATTTAAAAACAAGTTCTTTTTAAACTAAAGTCTGTTTATTCTCTTCAAAGCAGTCTTTAAAAGATGATCTTAGGAGTAAAGATAGCCTCTTCAGCAAATGGTGTTGGGAGAACTGGACAGCTACATGCAAAAAAATGAAACTTGAGCACCAACTTACACCATACACCAAAATAAATTCAAGGTGGATAAAAGACTTAAATATAAGCCATGACACCATTAAAGTCCTAGAGGAGAACATTGGCAAGAAAATCTCAGATATTCCACGCAGCAACATTTTTACGGATATGTCCCCTAGAGCAAGGAATATAAAGGAAAGAATAAACAAATGGGATCTCATCAAAATAAAAAGTTTCTGCATGGCTAAAGAAAACAGTATTAAATTAAAAAGACAACCAACTGTATGGGAAAACATATTTGCCAATGATACCTCAGACAAAGGTTTAATCTCCAAAATACACAAAGAACTTACACGACTCCACTCTAGGAAGACATCGAACCCAATTAAAAAAATGGGAAAAGGACTTGAACAGACACTTCTCTAAAGAGGACATACAGAATATCCAGAGACACATGAAGAGATGCTCAATATCGTTAGCTATCAGAGAGATGCAAATTAAAACCACAATGAGATACCACTTTACACCAGTCAGGATGGCTATAATAGACAAAGCAACAAACAACAAATGTTGGAGAGGGTGTGGGGAAAAGGGGACCTTTGTTCACTGTTGGTGGGATTGCAGACTGGTACAACCATTATGGAAAACAGTATGGAATTTTCTCAGAAAAATAAAAATTGACCTGCCTTTTGACCCAGCAATTCCACTGCTAGGATTATACCCCAAGAATCCTAAAACATCAATTTCAAAGAACCTATGCACCACAATGTTCATAGCAGCACAATTTACAATACCCAAGAGTTGGAAGCAACCTAGGTGCCCATCAGTAAATGAATAGATCAAAAAATTGTGGTACATATACACCATGGAATTCTATGCAGCAGAGAGAAAAAAGGAGCTACTACCTTTTGCAACAACATGGATGGAACTGGAAAGCATTATGCTGAGTGAAATAGGCCAGGCATTGAAGGACAAATACCATATGATCTCACCTTTGACAGGAAGCTAAAGAATAAAACAAACAAGCAAACAGAATAAAAACAAAGACGCTGAAATAGAGAACAAGAGGGCAGCGACCAGAGGGGAGAGGGAAGGGAACTTAAGGAGAAAAAGGGGGAGGGATTTTGAGGAACAAGTATGAAAGACACAGAGATGAGGACTGGGAGGGGGGGAATGGGAGGGAGAGGGGAGACCGGGCGGGCGGGTGGGGTGGGATGGGAGAAATAGATAAAAAAAAATGTACTTGAAAAGTAACTAAATAAAAAAAAATAAAATAAAATAAAAAAAAGAAAATTGGCAGCAGTTAAACAGTTTAAAAGAGAGATGTGACAAGATTTGATGAGTGTTTTTAAAAGGCCACTCTGCCTGGCAGGTAAGAGGATGGATGGCAGGAGTGGTTATAGGGAACAATGTGGTTGCAGAAGAAAGAGAATTGGAGAGTTTCTGGAAATATTTATGCCAGTACCTGAGGGCTGTATTGGAGAATGGCAATATGAAGGCACTGGGATTGATGCGCAGGTTCCCAGCTGGAGTTGTGTCTGAATATTATGGCCATTAACTGAGAAGCAGGCAGAGCAGCAGAGGGGGTCAAGGAGTTTTGTGTGTGTAGGTGGAAGGAGAGCGAAGTGTAGATGGCAACAGAAGGGAAGAGAAGTTAACTGCCGTATAGTATCAATGCCACCAATATTTCTAACCAAAATATTGGCTTTGGAATTTTTTACAGTGATCCACACTAAGAAATGCATTTTTCATAGCCTCCTCATACACAGTGTATATAGAAATTCATAAAACAGTGCTTTCCTGTTCCACGTGCAACTCAGGGATATTTCTTGTCTTACTTCATTAAAAAAAAATCAGTGTGGGCCCTGAGGCAGTGACGTTGGCAATCATTGCCATGGCAACCATTGTGGATGACGTCCTTTGTGACATGGGTCCAATATGGTTCCTAGGTGTCTTGGAGACGAGATCCAAACGAACGTTGCTTCAGTATCAACTTGAAGCGCTTCAGGCAGCCGTGGCCCAGAGATCGCTCAGGGATTTCTTCAAATCCCCACCATGGCTACTTTCACCAACTCACACAGACCCATCAAGGGGATCCTGAAAAACAAAGGCTCCATGAATTCTTCGGTGGTGGTCCCTGCCCAGCAGTCTGGAGGGCCTAGTCAAGTACAGACTAAAAAGGCTAAGAGGTGGGACGAGTCAATATCCTTGCCACATGCCGGTCTGCATACAGAGACTATGATTTAAGGAAGGTAAATGAGCCCAACATTCGTCACCTGAGGTTTCAAGATGGCAAAGAAGATACCGTGCGTGATTTAGAAACAGAAGACCAGACTGGAGACACCGCTATTGATACCTTAGCTAAGAAATTAGCCGCCACTGATCTCTCCGAGCCGAACAGTGTCATGGGGGAGCCAGAGAGCAAGCAGGCACATAGCAGAATCTTCATGGATAAACAAGAAAGACAGCGGCAGTTCGAATTGAGAAGGAAGCTGCATTACAGCGAAGGACTGCACATGAAATTAGGTAGGGAATTAATTGCAAAAGAACTCCAAGGTGAAGAAATGGGTGCTGAAAACGAAGAAATCCCACCTGTTACCAATGAAGAGATGACTACGGCAGGAAAACCAGATGACGGCCCTGTAAGTGATGAACTGTAAACTTCAGCAGGCTAAGCATAGAAAACATCTATTCATGCTGCAAGTGTTGTCAAACCCTATTAGTATAATAGACTGTGTCTAGTTCTGTAGAACTTTGCTTTAAGTAATGAAATACCATCAGTTCAATTGTGCTGTAATAATTAAATAGTAAACTTCTAAGTAGATTAAATGGAAAAAAATAAAAGATGATCTTAGGTAAAATTAAAATTTTAAAATCATTTTAAATTGTGTAGATATTTACAGTTTCCAAATAATTTTCCATTATTTTTGTTGTTTTTGTTTTCTTCATCAACCCTCTGAGTTAGTCTGGCCAGAAAGTTTTTAGTCTTGTGTTATGGATTAGGAAACTGAGAGCCAGGTTATGTGCTCAGGAAGTGTTATAGCCAGGAGTTGGTCTCTTGCCTTCTAGCATCTAGCCCAGAGGTTTCTACTCTGTTCTTATGATTAAACTATCATTGGAAGAGGGAAACTTCAGTAATTTAAATCATGTTAGATTTAAATAAATGATCATTGGATGTTGTGATTATTCAACTTGAGTGTAATCACTAAGAAAGCTTGTTTAAATTTTAGACTGTCAGGCTGCATTCTCAAAGATTCTGATTTAGAAAGTCAAGGGTGGAGCCTCCAGACAGTATACCATACTGTTTTATGGTATATTCATAAAATAAGACATAAGGTCTCAAGAATGGTCTCATGAGTGATATGTGCCCTGACCAGGAATCGAACCTACCTACAACCCTTTGGTGTACAAGACAATGCTCCAACCAACTAAGCCACCTGGCCAAGGAGGCATCTGTATATTTTAAAAAGAAGAGAAAGGGAAGGAATTTTGGGAGGGATGGTGGCACTGAAAAAGGCAAGCAGATGAGGGGCAGAGAAGTGAAATCCAAGGTGCATGTTGTGGCAGACAGCCAGAGTCTGCCTGTTGTGACTGAAAATAAAAACAAATGCACAGGCTACAGCAATCCTGTGGAGAAAAAGGGACAGCATGGTCACTCTCTCAAGGGGAGGACACACCGACCTTTGCCTGGACAGGCTTTTATTATTTTTCTCAGGTTTTACATCAGAGAAGGACTTACTATCCATTACACAGAGTATTGTTGTCTGCATTTTAAGTACAATCAAAGAAATAAAAATAACACATGCAGAAAGGAAAGGTAGCAAGCTGATTAGCTCTGTTCTTGGGAAAGTTCACACAGGCTTTGGAAATTACGTTGAAGATAAACAATACACATTTGTTATTTCAGACCAGGGTGATGGAGTTTTAGGAAGAGCAAGCCATAACAGTCTGTATGCATTTTCTAGGCCTTATTCCCAAGAGGAAACCTGGTTTGAGTGTCTACTCCTCCCCACCATCTCCCTTGTGTAGGTTTTCCATACAGAGCTGGGTCACATTTGCCAGAACAAAACAAACCGGTCCCCTACAGCATGGGATACCTGAATTCCCTTTAGTCTTTCTATAAGATATAGAAAGAAAATATGAGAACATATTTTGTTAAGTGCACAACATTTGCTGCAAGTTTCCAAGGCATTTTGTACTGGAAAAAGAACAATGTTAATAACAGTCCCATGTATAGCATTAATATTTTTTCTTTTTCTTCCAAACAACCCATTACTTTCAATTTTTCCCTTTCTATCCTCTAAACTAGGTAACAATTTGCTTGTTTTTAATTGTTACATTTGGTCTTATACCCACATGGCAATGTAACTTGAGCAAAAGCCAAACCTGAAAATCCCTTTTCCTTCTTCCTATAAATCCACACAGAACTGAATTTGGAGATCTTTATAAACTTTGTTTCTGAGTTTGTGTTCTGCATTTATTTCTAAAGTTATCAGCTTACTATTTCCCAAGATTAGGAGAGAAGAGGGATTTACTCTCAGCTATTTGTCATATTCTGAATATTCTGAGATAAATATTGTACATGGAAGCAGAAAATGTAGTGTTTTAGATATCAAAATTTACCTGTGAAGTAGTATTTGTCCTGCATATCCTATTTTGTCATTGATCTCTATATGAAATTATCAACATTTTCCCCCAAATAGGATTTTTCTTCCAAGCCTTGATAAAAATCATAAGAAAACAACCATACCTTTAAAAATCACACTTAAAGGGGAATCTGAGTCGACTGGTACCAGAGGAGAAATAAGTGTCTTGTCTTCAGACCTAAGCTCCTTCAGTTGTTATGTCACAAGGTATCCTTTCTCCACCAGCTGGTTTGCTGTCTGATGAGGAGGTTGTAGTCTCCCCCATGTTTGAGTCCACAGCTGCAGATTTGGAGTCTGTGCTTCATAAAGACCTGCTGTCAGATTGCTCTGTCATCTCCACTTCCCTGGAGGACAAGCAGCAGGTTCCATCTGAGGACAGTACTGAGAAAGTAAACTTGAGGGTTAGGCCCTTGTTGCCTTCAGAGTTGGAACGGCAGGAGGACCAGGGTTGTATCTGTATTGAGAATGTGGAAATAATTTTTCAACTGGTGGTTGTGCCTTTCCCCCTTCTGGTACCCCTATAATTCGGATGTTGGAACGTTTAAAGATGTCCTGGAGGTTCCTAAGCTTCTCCTCATTTTTCTGAATTCTTATTTCTTCATTCCTTTCTGTTTGATCATTTTTTTCTTCCTTCTGGTCCTCTCCCTTGATTTGAGTCCCAATTTTCTTTCCATTACTATTGGTATCTTTTGTATCACCATTTATTTCAATTAATTTAGCTTCCATATGTTTCTCTAATTTGTGACTAAAATCAACCAGTTCTGTAAGGATCCTTATAACCAGTGTTTTGAACTGTGCATCTGAAAGACTGGCTATTTCTTCATCACCTAGGTCTATCGGTTCTGGGGCTCTGAGTTGTCCTAGAGCCATTTTTGTTCTATTCGTGCTGTTAAGTGAGCGGAGCGAAGCCTTAGTTGTTTACCAGGACGGGGCGACCCAGGTCGCTGGTTTGTGACTCTGTGTTTGGGGGCGGGGTTTGAAAAATTATTTGAACAAATAATAAAGGAGAATTTCCCCAAGATGGCAAAAGAAATAGACTTCCGAGAAATCCAGGAAGCTCAGAGAGTCCCAAAGAAGTTGGACTCAAGAAGGAACACACCAAGGCACATCATAATTACATTAGCCAAGATTAAAATGAAGGAGAGAATCCTAGAAGCAGCAAGAGCTAAGGGGACAGTCACCTACAAAGGAGTTCCCATCAGACTGTCAGCTGATTTCTCAAAAGAGACCTTACAGGCAAGAAGGGGCTGGAAAGAGGTATTCCAAGTCATGAAAACCAAAGATTTACAACCAAGATTGCTCTACCCAGCAAAACTTTCATTTAGAATGGAAGGACAGATAAAGTGCTTCTCAGATAAGACCAAATTCAAGGAGTTCATCATCACCAAGCCCTTATTATATGAAATGTTAAAGGGACTTACCTAAGAAAAAGAATATAAAAAAGATGAACAGTGAAAGGACAGCAAACTCACAGTTATTAAGAACCACACCTAAAACAAAAGCAAACTAAGAGGATAGCTAGATCAGGAGCAGAACCATAGAAATGAAGATCTCATGGAGGGTTAGCAACAGGGGAGTGGGAGGAGGGGAAGGGGGGAGAAGGTACAGAAAAATAAGTAGCATAGACAGTAGATAGAAAATACATAGGGGGGAGGGTAAGAATAGTAGGGGGAAATACAGAATCTAAAGAATTTGAGACACATGTTCATGAACTAAAGGGGGAAATGGTGGGGGGGGGGGGTATGCAGGGTGGAGGGGAAGGGAGGGGGGGAATAGAGCAAATGTAATGGCATAATCAATAAAAAAAATAAATTAAAAAAAAAAAGGAGAGAATGTGGAGACGCTTGTTCTACAGGCACCCAAAGATCCTTTGCCCAGAAGAGCAATGAGCAGGGAATTGACTAAGTCACTCACAGGTTCACCTTTTCCCAGATCTTTGGGCCAGAAGTAGGACAAGCATCCTTCTTCAATCTGACAGTGAAGGACATGGTAAAAGATGTACTCAAAGGACAGAACTGGCTTATCTATACATATGGAGTCACCAATTCAGGGAAAACCCACATGATTCAAGGTACTATCAAAGATGGAGGGATCCTGCCCCAGTCCCTAGCTCTGATCTTCAATAGTCTCCAAGGCCAACTTCATCCCTTACCTGATCTGAAGCCCTTACTCTCTAACGAGGTAATCTGGCTTGACAGCAAGCAGATCAGGCAGGAGGGAATGAAGAAACTGGCCCTGCTGAATGGAAGCCTCCAAGAGGAGGAGCTGTCTACCTCCTTGAAGAGGAGTGTCTACATTGAAAATGGGATTGGTACCAGCACCAGCTTTGACAGTGGCATTGCTGGGCTCTCCTCCACCAGTCAGTTTACCAGCAGTAACCAGCTAGATGAAACAAATCACTGCTGGGCACAGCCAGACACTGCCCCCATAAGTGTCCCTGCAGACATTCGCTTCTCCATCTGGGTCTCCTTCTTTGAGATCTACAATGAACTGCTTTATGACCTGTTAGAACCACCTAGCCAGCAACACAAGAGGCAGGTTCTGCGACTGTGTGAGGATCAGAATGGCAATCCCTATGTGAAAGATCTCAATTGGATTGATGTTCAAGATGCTGAGGAAGCCTGGAAACTCCTGAAAGTGGGTCGTAAAAACCAGAGCTTTGTTAGCACACACCTGAACCAGAACTCCAGCCACAGTCATGACATCTTCTCCATTCGGATCCTCCACCTTCAAGGAGAAGGGGATATGGTCCCCAAGATCAGAGAGTTGTCACTCTGTGATCTTGCTGGCTCAGAACGCTGCAAAGATCAGAAGAATGGTGAGCAGTTGAAGGAAGCCAGAAATATTAACACTTCTTTGCATGCCTTGGGCCGCTGTATTGCTGCCCTATGCCAAAACCAGCAGAACTGGTCAAAGCAGAACCTGGTTCCATTCAGCGACAGCAAATTGACTCGAGTGTTCCAAGGCTTCTTCACAGGCCAAGGCCACTCCTGCATGATTCTCAATGTAAATCCATGCGCATCTACCTATGATGAAACCCTTCATGTGGCCAAATTCTCAGCTATTGCCAGCCAGCTTGTGCATGTACCACCTGTACAACTAGGGTTCCCATCACTACATTCATTCATCAAGGAACACAGTCGGCAGGCATCTCCCAGCTTAGAGACAGAAACTAAGACAGACCCAGGCCTTGATGATGACATTGAAAATGAAGTTGACATCTCCATGTATGGCAAAGAGGAGCTCCTAACAGGTGTTAGAAGCCATGAAAGCATTGCTTTTGAAAGAACGGCAGGAAAAGTTGCAGCTGGAGATGCAGCTCCATGATGAAATTTGTAGTGAGATGGTGGAACAGATGCAACAGCGTGAACAGTGGTGCAGTGAACATTTGGATACCCAAAAGGAACTATTAGAGGAAATGTATGAGGAGAAACTAAAGATCCTCCAGGAGTCACTGACAAGTTTTTACCAAGAAGAGCTTCAGGAGTGGGATGAGAAGATTCAAGAGCTATAAGCTCTCTTGCAGAAAGCCAGACAACAGCCAATGGCCCATCAACAACCAGGGTCTGAATTGTCCTTACGGTGGTCCCAAAGGTTGGCAGCTTCTGCCTCCACCCAGCAGCTCCAGGAGGTTAAAGCTAAACTAGACCAGTGCAGAGCAGAGCTAAATGCCACCACTGAAGAGCTGCACAAGTATCAGAAAATGTTAGAACTGCCACCCTCAGCCAAGCCCTTCACCACTGATGTGGACAGGAAGTTAGAGGAGGGCCAGAAGAATATAAGGCTGCTGCAGACAGAGCTTCAGAAACTTGGCAAGTCTCTCCAGCCAGCAGAAAGGGCCTGTTGCCACAGCACCAGGGCAGGAAAACTTCACCAAGCCTTGACTGCTTGTGATGACATCTTAATCAAACAGGATCAGACCCTGGCTGAGCTGCAAAATAACATGATGTTAGTAAAACTGGATCTTCGGAAGAAGGCAGCATGCAACACAGAGCAGTATCACACTGTGCTGAAACTCCAAGGCCAGGCTTCTACCAAAAAGCGTGTTGGGGCCAACCAAGAAAACCAGCAACCAAACCAACAGCCCCCAGGAAAGAAACCATTTCTTCGAAACTTACTTCCCCGAACACCCACCCACCAAAGTTCAACAAACTGTAGCCCTTATGCTCAGATCCTGTGCTCCCGAAGCTCCCCTTTACTCAAATCTGGGCCTTTTGGCAAAAAATACTGAGGTGGTGAGGAGACAGAATGCAGCCTGTGTCCTGAGTGGGTCAGCTGCTCAGCTTGAGAAATAGGTCTCTTTTAAGCTTCACCATATACCTGGAACTTGATACAAGATGCAGTATTCGGACACTAGTTGGGTCCCACTCCTTTTGTAATATAATCACCTATGTAATCTCATACTTTTTTACTTATATGGTTTCTATGCATACACAAAAAAAACTGTATTAAATATATTGTTCACAAAAAATCACACTTAAAAATATCTAATAAGTTAATAGCAGTCTAAATAAGTCACAATATATGAATGTAAAGCAGCAGAGCTTTTTTTTTCATTTATACAAAACAACTTAAAGCTCTAAAGAGGAAAAAACTAAGAGTTTAAGGGTACAGAATTCACTGAACTAGAATGTCAAGAGTTTATATCCACCTTCCATTCTCCTATTCAACTCCCTCACTTATACTCTATAACAGAAAAACATTATTTGGAGTGACCAAGCATTAATAGGAGCTGAGAGGGGAGGTAGATAACTATTTCAAGCTTACTGTTTGACAGGTGTTATGCTCAGAATATTTTTTCATTCCAATAAAGCCTTATAAGATTTTGTCCAATTTACAAATCAGAAAATGAGTCTCAGATATTAAGCAACTTGTTTATAGTCACACAGCTAGCAAATGGCAGATTAAAGCCAGATATGTCTGATTTCAAAGTTTACGCTTTCCAGTGAATTTAATATGTCTCCAAGCTTTTTAGATAACCATTTCCCCCTAACTGTTAATCATTTGATTATATAATTAGAACAAAGAGAGTCTAGAATTTTAGCTTACTGTATCTTCCTATTTTCAACCTAACTCTCAAACATTATACCTTGTAGAGTTTCTATGTTCAGTTTCAAGGCTGAAAAGAGTATTTGAAATGAGTGGCACTTAACACAGCTTTCAGATAATATGGTTTGAGTTACTGTATATTGGACAATGAAAATATAACTTGTAAAATATTCTTTTTTATGTATCAGTGTAATGTGGAAATGCAAAACTCAATTTAAAAGAGAAAAATATATTTCTGGTAAAAAGCTATGTACACAGAGTATTGATAAGCTTTTGGAGGGAATGTTCTTTGGATGTGTCCAGATGTCAAAGCTTCTCTACCTGCCAAGACTGGAGATTCAAATTTGAGGAGTCACCAACATGCAGATGATATTTAAAGTCATGAAACAGGATGGATCACCTCAGCATATGATGTTAATAAAGAAGTAGACAGAAGACAGAGGCCTGAAACAGAAACTCATGATAATTCATTTATAATGTTCCAGATTTCTCAGACTATTTCCCTAATACGCACACACACACAATTATAGTAGCTGTACTTTTAGTATCTGGTTAAATGTTAGACATTGTGCATACTTATGTAATATCACTGGTAAAAGTGAAGTTACTAATAGGCACAAAGTCTTGGAAAGGGCTGTTCGGAAACATTTAGTGTCACACAGAAACAATGTAAAACTCATTTTATATAATACTGGGGCATAGTAGTTACCAGTTTTATCTGTGGCACCAAATTACTTGAGTTTGAATCCCAAATCCACTATATCTAACAAGTATCACTGGGCAAATTACTTAATTTTGGTGTCCTTCGGTTTCTTTGTTTATATAACAATGGTGTCTGCTTACTAAGATTTTTTTATCAGGACTAAATGAAATAAAATATGTAAAACATATGGGAGCTCAATAAATGTTCACAAGTATTATGTGAGAATTAGGTAGCTCTGAACAGATCCCAGAAGTTTTCTTTTTCAAGCATCCCACCCTTTAGGGATCCTCTCTAGGGGCTCACCACTTTACAAGGCAAGCATTTCTATACTGGCAAGCTCTCAGTGACAGTCACTTTTTCACTTTGGTCATCATTTTGCACTCTGGAGAGCTGCAGAATAAGCTGCCTCTTCTATATGATGAGTCTTTAAACCCTTAAAGCAGCTTCCATGTGCTTTTTCACCTTTTCTTCATTGGGCAAAGGACACCCTGCTCCTTCAAGTGCTCTGTGGACAAAATAAATTTAAGACTTCTTAATCTACAGATATTATCACTTACCAAAGTTCTTTCTAAAAATTTGTTCTTTAAAATATGTAAATCAAGACACTCAAAGAGCTTGTTATAGTGTAAATGTAACCTACATCTAATGGGGGTTGAGAGGGACAAAGCAAAACAACAAGGCCATTATGTGTTTGTGAGGCTTTTAAGCTTGAAAACTGTTAAAACCATAAAAGCAAAGTAGCTTAATTATTCTGCTAAGTGCAAAGCTAAAGTAACTTCTTTAAAATGTTTTCCTAACGAGCAGAACTCACCTGGACTTTCAATAGGCATACCTATTTATAAATAAATGGTTTCAACATGTGGATCATAACATATATATGAGAATTATTCTTTCAAATTTTGAGTGGCTTTTCATTAAATGTATCCTAGCTGGATGCATGTGAAGAGTCATAATCCATTATTTATCTTGTGCATTTCTATAGGGCCTGTTGCCATAGTAACCAACTCAGACTGAGATATGAGACAATTAACAAAAAAAAAAAAAGCTTAGAAAGATCACAGTACCAGCCAATACATTGAATCATGATTATTGTACTATGATGAAAATGACAGTTGATGATGTTCTACTGAAACAAATGATGAATCAAGATTATAAAGGCCTGTGAAAAAATATATTGTAAGAAAAAACTGCTGAGCTACATATGAGAAAACCTTGGTTCAACAACTGGCTCTCTGGTTCACTAGCTGTGCAACCTGCTATATTGTTTAAATTGATACTTAGTCCCCATATTTGAAGACCTGAAATAATATCTGCTGCACATCTAGTGTCATTAAGAAAAGCAAATTAAAGTTCTACAAGCAGCTTTCTATATGGTTAGGCAAAAATGAATATTCTGAAATATATTTACCTGCATTATTGTGCTTCATTTTAAGAGTAGTTGTTTATAAAGTGAAACCAAAAAATAGGCCTGAGTTTACAAAATTGTTGCATTGTCACACAATTATCGCTCTTTAACAATATGAAGTGGGACACCGAATAAACTGGAATTTATTTATAAAAAATTGTGTATTTATTCTTACATGTTTAAACTTCAGTTACCTTCAAAGTACTCTCCATTTGATGCAATACACCTATTGAGATGTTTTTTCCACTGCTCAAAAGGTTTTGAACTCCTCAATTTTGATGCCTTTTAGTGCTTCTGCCATTGTTTTGTTTTACTTCTTCCACACTGGCAAAACATTTCCCTTTGAGGACTTTTTTAATCCAGGGAAACAAGCAAAAAAGATTGCTCAGGGAAAGATTGGGCAGATAGAAATGGTGGGGCATGGGGCCCATTCTGTTTTTGGTCAAAAACTGCTCAGCACAGTGTGGACAGGTGTGCTCATATGCTGTGGACGGCTCTTCCAGGTCCTAGGAATTGTATCTCGACTCCTTGTGGCTAAGGACAAAGGACAACCTTTGGAATGCAAGCCATAGGAGACAAAGCTTATCTCTGGTAGCAAATGCTGCCTCAGTTTCCTCTCCTTGCCCCCAAAGCTTGGTTGGAAATCAATGACCGGTAAGACCCCTCACAGCAGGGGACAACCTAAGCCAGACTTGATCACTTGGGAGGCCTTCATGGAAGGACTGGGTGGGGGTGTGCAACAAAGAGCAATGGACTCTCACCCCCCGGCTTTGAGATAGTCCGAGTCCCCATGTTCTCTGGGAGAAGCACTTCCTGGCTCTAATCCCCTTAAGCCTGAATACCTGTTGGGGAGAGGTGCAGCTCCTTACATTGCTAGAGCTTGTCCTGGGGAAAAAATGGCATCACAAAGACTTCCTGATAAACCTGTGAAATCTGCTCTGCTAAGAGTGCTTTCATTCATATGTTAAGGGTTCACGCAGGAAACCCTAAAACTCTGTTCCTGACAGTCTCTGACTCATACTAAACCCTCAGATTTCTTTGAAATGTTATCTACTGTTTGATCCTTGCCACACTGTATTCTTGTGTATTACAACCCAATAAAAGCCCCTGGAGGAGAGAACTCAATACCTTTTTCCCCTGAGAAACTGGCCACTGCTCAAGGTCTTTTTCCTCTGGGAAAATGGCCACTTCTCCTCCCCAAGCAGATCACGTCATGTCTCAGTCATATTTACTCTCATCTGTGGCAGCGGAGGGGACTTTCAAGGAAAGTCACCCCCACACTCATAAATTACCCATGGTGGACTTAGGAAGATGGCAGCCAAGTAGGTGGAAGCTGAACCCACTTGCTCTTCCTCCCAGCTTGGACACTTGGCTGATGTTCTAAAAAATAAACTGAACATTGAATGGAATCTTAGCTGATATAAAGTTTTGAAGCCAAAGAGAACAGAAGATGTTTCATTACAGGTGGTGAGGAAATTTTACAGGTGGAAGATACCCTGTGCCTGGGCATCTGTGCTGCATCAGAGATCACAGCCCAGTTGCTGACTCCCCTCCCAGGGAAGGGAACCCCCAGATCCGGGCCCAGAGCAATTTGGTTACACAAATTTGTGGAGATCCAGGCTACACAGACACACAGTGAGCAGCATGCCCGTAGCTGCAGTGGCAAACATCCACTGTGAGAGTGTCATAGAGTGACAGGCATTTTATCTGCACCTGGGTTGGGAGGAGAAGCCTGGACACGGAAAGATGTGACTGTCAGAGACTCTTAATGTTTTGGAGAGGTAGTATGTATGAAAAGCTTAGCAGTGCCTCAGTGCTGCAGTGGGAGTGCCCAGATAGAGTTTTTTTAAAAGGGGAGCTGAAATTTCTAGGCAGGAACTTCACACACAGCTGCCTTGCCAACAAGAGGAAAGGATTGAGGGTGTGGTTTACTCCCACTCAGTGCAGCATGCAGATTGATCAGAGAGGTGCACAGTGAAGAGATTTCTTGGCCCCAGCCCAGTGCAGCTAGCAAGGTGGAGGCTGCACAGAGTGGAGAATTTGGGTCTCTGTTTGCTGTGACAGCAGTGGGCTG